TATTTGCACAGATTATCAGTTGCTTCCTCCCAGCTCCCCCATTTTTCTTCATAAATGGCATCTGTATCACAAAAAGAAGAGGAAAGGGCAAGTAAAAAGGCAAAGTAAGGCAATGGAATGTACTATTATTCAAACACAAATGTGTGTGAATAAATCTGATTTAGTTAAAGATGTCCCAGCTCTCTGCCGGGGGGTTGGACTAGGTGACCTTCAAAGGTCACTTCCATGCCAAACTATTCTATGATTCTGCTAAGAAATATGCACACGATGGAACAGTATGTGCCAAGGTAATGGACCAGTGAAGCAGCTTTGATATGAGGAACTGGGAGAAGCAGCAAAAGGAGAGATGAAAGTGGATCCGTTCTCCTCCGAAATGCCTGCATTTCACCTGCCCCTGTGGGCCCGCTGTTTGCGATGGGAGAGGGGACTCTGAAAATGGGAAACTCATAGCGTGGGCATTAGATGGAATTGCAAAAGGGCAATACGCTAAAGGACTGTAGAACCATGGGCTGGAACTGTTACCCAAAAACAGACTGAAAATCTTCACTGAAAGATGTGAAATTTCATAGGTCAACATCTAACCCCACAAAATGGCATAACAAACTTGGCTACACTGGCTCTGTTGGGGCCTGAGTTTCCCCAGCAGATTTTTCTATATATTTATTGTATTTTACGTATAAAGCTGTTGGTGCTGAGCACAGCACTTTCAGAAGAAATTAGCATGTCCAGTGACTCATTTGATTGTAGCAGTATCACGTGTAATGTTCCTGGTAGCAGGTCTGCAGCCGAGATAATCACACGTGGTGGTAACATTTAGATTAAGTTGCACTTTGAAGTAGAATTAACACTGACCCAAGTTTGAAACAACTTGAAATGTAAGACTGTGAATCACAGGACTTATATCTGAAAACCTATATATTTATTGAATGCTTCTGTACATGAAATTACTTTCTCACATGACTTACTAGAAGGAAACAGCTTTATGTGCCTTGAAAATCTGTAACATTCTGTTGTGTGCTGTAGTTGGGCTAATTAACCCTTTCAGTGTGTCAGTGTGTAAATGGATTATTTTCCATAAAATTATTAGGTTTTAGGAAAATGGCAATAATTGGAACATTCTGAAACATGATACAACTCCAGACAACTTCTCAACCTCCTTTTTGGGGAGTCATTCCACATGTCAGCGCACATGCACACAACACATTGGTGGAGGGTATTTCTGTGAGAAGTAAGAATGTTGAGTTTTCACATAGAACTGAGATAGATATAATTCAGTATTTAGTCTTCAACTGATGTCAAATCATTCCACAGATTATCTTCAAGGAGAGGAGGAGAAATAGCAGAAATGGTAATTTTACCCCATGTTTTTTGAAAAAGAAACAAAAATGGCGTAACTTCTTTGCCAATAAATTATATGTACTATGTTATCTTTTAGTCATCCTAATATCTTACTAGAATTACTATGGGGAAGGAAGAAGCTAAGAATCTTATTTCTCATGTAAAATGAGGTAGGAAAAGTTCTGTTCCTGTTAAGGAACATTGAAGCTATATTAATACAAAAATTAATGAGAATATAGGGTCACAAAGAATTTCTTGCAAGTTTTCAGCCTTAAGCATGGGGCTCAAGATAGCTCAGAAAAATATATATTTGACACCTATACTACACAGCTGATAAAATGGATCAACATGCTAATGATCCTTTATTTTGTTAAAGGGAATATTGTCCTCATGCTGTGCAGAAAAAAAAAACTTGTCTCAATGAATAAAAAATATAGGGTGTTTAATACAACACTCTTTAATAAAAGAAGATGGATTTTGTTACTGCATATAAGGACTTGTGAATGCATTAGCTAAGTATTAGAGTTTTATTTAGCAAGGCTGCTTGATAGCATTTTTTTAATGTTCTTTTTAGAAAGAGTTAACATAAAGGAGTGAAGGTCTTTTCTTGCACTGAAATTTAGCAGTCCTGTTAAGCATGTACCGGCTTATTTTCTAGGCTCACTTTTATTCCAGCTCTGATTGGGAAACTTCAGGAAATCATTCCTAAAAAGCACCTTGAGGTGACTAAATTGCTACTTCATTTATATCAAGATGGACAAATTGAAAATCTGCCAACCACAGTCACCAGTGCAAGTCCTGCTGGACTCCCACCCAAACAGATGACACGTTTTGCCTCCTCTGTGATGCAGATATGGGGGATTGATAGTTTCAAAGGTAGGAAGTTCTAGATGAACCTTGTAGATGCTGAAAGCAAGTGGCATTCCTCCCTCTTTCCTTTGTCTCCCCATCAGGATAAGAAATGCTCTCATGGGAAACACTGAAATCATTGCAGGGGCTTTTCTTTAAATTGCAATGGCACAAGTGTCCACAGCCAGCAGCAAGTAGGAAGCAGCTTTTTCAGTAAATGGTCTGCTTTGAGAAAGTCTCTTAGAAGTCTGCAAGAGCATGACCAAATCCTTTTTTATCAAGTGAAGAGCAGCAGTAGCAGAGCTTTTCATGTCCTGTGTTGCGTGCTAGTAACACTGCCCTTTCCGAAGGCTTGTTTGCAAAATATTAAAATGAAACAACAGTGTTAGCAAATGACTGACTTAAAGGACCCAAGTGATTCTTTTTAATTGCCTTTTTCTCGTTGTTATGTAATATAGAACAGTTTGGAAGGAGATTGTATACTGCTAACCAAAGGATTTATTTTATGTTATTACAGTGGGTATGTTGCATATGTTGTGCGTTAATGATACTGCTGTTTTACAGATGGGGACACTCAGAACCAGAAAGGTTAAAATCAGTTAGCACTAGCTAGGGTTGATGAGACGGTTTAAGAGTCCAGACTGTGACCCTACCAGCTGAGAGGAGGGGCAGGGAGTTATTGGCCTGGTACTGGAGATGCTTTGCTGCCATTCCTTCACCTGGCACAAACCTTCTGTATGATTTCAGATGAAGTTTCTGCTTCTCAGATACCCATATCAAAATTGGAATAGTAGTGTTTATTTTATTTCAGACTCTGTAGCTAAGAGCCATAAGTTTAGGAATGGCTGGATCCGTCACTCTATAAGTGGATCTTTAAGAGAAATTACTGATGGTCAATATGAGCTACGTATTCTTTAAAGTGTCATAACTACTTTGTGAGGTTGATAACAGACAGCCCTACGATTGAAAATATTCCAAGAACTCCAACTAAAACTTCTGCATCTGTTAAATACAAGTCTTCGCAGGTGCAAACGAATCTATCGTTGTGCATTGCTCAGGACTGACATTGCTTTTGAGGACTTTCACTGTCTAACTTCTTTGTATTTGAGGGCATAGAATTACATTTCTTTCCTAGGGTTCTGATTTTCCCTCAGCTTCTGCATCACCTTAAGATGTTTTGCCCATTCATAGGCAGTCTGAGTTTAAAAATTATTCACTGTGAAGTTGCACAAATGTGTCATGACTGTGTGTTCTCTGCTTTGGGACGTTTAACCTCTAGTATAGTTAGAGGGTGGATAGAAAGGGGGCTTACAACCCAAACTGTGCCAGCAAAGTTCAACTGAGCTCATGTGTCAACATTGTTAGGCAAAATTAGGTTCTACTCGATTTCCATCTTTGTTGCTCATTCCATTTGTTTCTTGCTGGACAAGATTATTTTCAGGACTCTTGAATCTTCCTATTTTTATTTTGCCATTGAAAAAAGAGAAGTCTGTATCTGATATGTACAGATTCCAGTATAAAGTTAGTGAGAGAAATTCCTTAAAATTAGCAGAGGAGCACAAAATTGCAAAATCGTAGGGTTCCAAGAGCTTTGTTATATTATTTGTTGCCAAATACTACCTACCTTTGTTAAACAATTCAAATAGCCTATTCAGTTACCTTGTTCTAAAGTGTCCTGTATTTTAAAGTAATGTGTTTCTAACAACCTGGTCTCTCTGGCGCAAAAAAACCCAGCAGCTTCAGTGTTCAATGAATGTTTAAAAGCTAACCTGCTTTAAAAGCTGACTTGGTTAGTTTTCATGTTTCCTGTTCAGGGCTTGAATATTTAAATTTTCTCCAAGTTCCTCTGTTTGAGACTTGGTATTAATAGAAAGAGGAGAGCTGGTGAGTCCTTTTCTGATTTGCATCGTTATGGCTTAACTTTTCTGTGGTTCCACAAAATAGGAGTGGATGTGTTAGAGTTAGTTTTAGGATTAATACAGTATGAGCATTTTTATTCTGGGAATAAACACTTATTCTTCCGTAGTTCTCACCATCGATGTAGTCTGTACTTTTTCTGCTTCCTCTGGTAGTTTCTCCAATAGAAATTCAAAGTACTAGTTGTAACACAAGTGTTTTAAAAAAAATAGAAAATAGAGGTTTCAGGTGCATGTGGCAAATCTTTTCAAGGTTAATAGCCCATTTGTAATGGAATATGGTGACTTTAAGGAAATATAATGATACATAAGTAAAAAAAATTACAGAGATTGTGAACTTCACTGCTCAACTCTATAGACCCTGAAATTCAATGATCACATGGGAACTAGCAGAAAGTTGGTGATAATAAGTAATATCCTTTGCTGATATGAGCACCATAAATATTCATCATAACAAATAAATACTGAGAACAGAGAAATGTACAAATTAAATATCATCTGGTACAGCAGAATAGAAAACACAGCAGTGTGATGTTCAAAAAATATTTATGTTTTTGACATCAGTACCAAATACATTATCCGCATTAGGTGTGCTTTTTGGACCGTAAAAGTGGAAAGGTTTGTCAAATGAAGCCTGCTCTTCCTGTGAGATTGCCTATAGAAGTCAAGAGTTAATCACTTCAAGATTTTGGTTTTTATACAAAAGCAGGGTAACTTCCTGATGAAGACCCATCGTGCTTTGACGTGATTTTTTTGAAGGTTTGTGTCCACTCAAATATATATTCAGCAAATCAGTGTGTTGTTTCTGTGTGCTTTATGTTCAAAAATTTATAAATATATGTATATATTTATATAGTATGTATCCATCCTCATTTGTTTTTTCTTTTGCTCCTGCAGTTTATTGTGGAGTGTCACGGGAATACACTTCTTCCCCAGTTTTTGGGCATGTACCGGCTTACTGTTGATGGAGTTGAAGTATATATGATTGTTACAAGAAATGTGTTCAGCCATCGTTTATCTGTTTATAGAAAATATGATTTAAAGGTGAGAAATAATTGCTGATGAAATAACTGACAAAATAGCTGAAATTTTTTATTATAGATGTTAGATTATGCTAATGCTTGAATATTGCTCAGAATTTTAATTAATTTTAAATTGTGTTATGTAAGAGCCAGCATTAACTGGTTTACTTCTGCATCGAGATTTAGCAAAACTGAGGGATGGTTTTATAGAAATTGTACAAATTTATTTGTATAGTGCATTTTTAAATGGGAGTGATTTAATCAGGTATGATTGTTAAGTATAAGTAAAGGTTACAGGTAAAATCATTTACGCAAGTACAATAATAATTCTACTTCCTATAGGTTTTTATCAACATTATGGAAAGCCACAGCTGATTCTGCAGAGAGTTTTTATAAAATAACTATCATCATAATTTAAACCAATAAAATGCTACTAACAAAGTACATCACTACTACAAAAGCTTCATACTTCATTATATACTTTTAAAATAATTAAGGTAAAAAAGAGAAGGTTCCTTAAAAATTCTGTTGGTTTTATCATAAGGTGTGTCTTAGTTTTGTTTCAGGTTTATCTGCTCACTGTAATTTTGCCAAGGGTTAATATACAGTGTCCAAAATACAATCTTAGTCTTTCTATCTAAGGGATTGTATTTTATTTTCCTCCATAAAGTCTCTCTTTAGAAACCTACTTCTTTATAATACATTTAATTTCTATATATTGAACCACTAAGTGCATCTGCAAACTTGTTTTAAGAAGTTCAGCAGTCTGTATTAAGAGATTTGTAATGCTATGTACTGCACCATCCTTTCCTACTGTCATGTATCTACCTAGCAATAGGTTGGACAGTTGACTGAATGTGGTTTATAAGAGCTGATATCCAGGTCCTCAACAATGGACTTTTTTATTTTTAGTATTATTTGCAGTAGAGCTCACTCAAGAAATTTATTTTTTTAATTTGAGAGAACTGTGTTTTAGAACATCATAATGTCCAGATACATTTAAAAAGGAATATAAGCACAACAGAAAGAAATATTAGTTATATACAGCACATTCTTAGCATTAGTGTCAACAGCTCTTGCTTTTATTTACCTCTGCTAATGCTTCTGTATTCTTCAGTTTGTTCAGCTGGACAGAATTGCTTTAAAAATAAATTCTTGCCATTTGAATCTAACATCAATATCATATTATTCTTCAGAATAAATTCCTTCACTGAGCAGATTTACTCTGCATCTATTACAAATCACTTTTTCTTGATTTTCATTGCTACAACATCTGCAGTTGTAGATTCAGATTACTGTTTTGTACGTGAATATTTTTGATGCCAGCTTAGAGTTTGCTTGCAGCACAAGTAAGATGATACTAAGAAAAAGAGAGCACAGATCAGCATAGAATTTCAAAGTTATTTTCCTGGCCACTGAGGCATTTTACTAAAATTACTTCAATGTCAATTTTGACAATCTCCCTAATTTTTACTATTGTGAATTTACTTTTTTTCCTCTATGTTGGTTTTCAGCTGATCTTTTTTCAGGCCCAATAGTCTGTTGGAGCACAGAGCACAACATAAAAGCTGTGTCATCAGTAAACTAAAATGTCAGACTTTTAGCAGGCTTTGTTATCAGTTAACAATACAATGAAATCCCTGCTTGCGGGGCCGTACATGGTAACTAAGACATGCAGGCCCATTTATCTTCTCTTTCCATTGTTTCTAAGTTTTCTAAGTTTTTCTCCGCAAACAGAATGAAAAACGGGTTATCAGATGTAGTTGGGAATCCTCAGGTTCTTTAAACTAGTATGACTCCACTCCAACATTTCTTTATATAATGCACACCTTCCAACAGACAACAGAACTAATTTACAGTGTCAGTTAATAGTAGTTATTTCTTGCAGTGCTATTACGTGATAAATAAATACTGGGTACTTAAAGATGTGATCCTGCTCCAAGATACTTGCAAAGAAATAAATACAGCCATTTTTTCGTCACCTCCAGCTTATTCAGAAAGGATTGCGTTGCCTACTCGTTTTAAGCTAAGAAATAAATATGGAAAAAATAAAATAAATATCCTAAATGTCCTTGGCAGCACTGTAAATCTTGTGAATCCACAGTTGGTCTCGTCTCTTCTTTTGACTTCCTGTTGCTGTGAGGTGCTTTGTTCTTGTTTGTACTTTGTGATCTTTTAAATATTTTCATGTGTTTATATTGTGTGACATCTTTTTCAAATGCGTATTATATATGTCCAAGTAGTTACATAGAATAGGCTATTCCATAACCATACAGTGAAACTGGCACAAAAAGATGAGAATTCTGTCAAGCAAACTGAACTTCCAGCATGATAGTCTCAAAATGAGCCTGAGACAGGAAGAAGCTCCAACAGTCAGAAGGAAAATAGATGTAGAGCATTTGAGGATTTAATCCATCTTTCTTCTCTCATGATATATCTTATTCAAGTGATTGCAGCAGTTCAGTGGCCCTCGGCGTTCTACCTACTGTATCTCAGGTTCAGAAGGATGCAGTTCATCCACTTTTTGACCTGTTGTCGTAACATTTTCAAATTAGTTTCTGACATATGCACATTTTTAGATCCATTTTTTCTGTTACAGGGCTCTACTGTGGCTCGAGAAGCCAGTGACAAAGAAAAGGTATGGTGCATTTCTGTTTCTTTTTCAGTTATCTAACCTGCTAGCTAGTTTCAGGACAAACATAACCAGTGCTGTTCTGGCCCTTTTCTTTATTTTCTGTCATATTCTCCCCTCTTGAGTTCTACCTTGTTTCCTCCTTTATCTTCCCTCTATTTTCTGCAGACCTTTGAATATTGGTTTGCAGTGGTGTTGAGATTTCAGAGGTAAGTGAGACAATCCTCTACCTCCTCCTTTTCCTTTTTTCTCTTCTTTTCTATTCTTAGTTCCTTCAGGGGCTGCCCTGTGGTAGAAAAACGTCAGGACTTTCTTCTCTTCCCTCCTGCTTCTTCATCTTCTTTCTCTTGCTCTTTAATGTTGAGATTTATGAATACTCCATGTCACTTAATGGAATGATATGACGTGGCACCACTTCTAAAGTGAATGCAAAGATGAACCAAACCTTGAATTGTGAGAATTTTGCAGTATGTAAAGCTCATACAAATGAGCAAACAACTGACAGACTTAGATGTACATGTAGCTATAATGAGAGACAGTCTCCCTCAAATTCTGGGCTGAAACTTTTCTCTAAAAGGAAATAGATCACTTTGTTTTTCTCCATCTCCAACTTCAGTTCATTTGGAAAATTTAATGTTCTCCAAACGAACATTTCTCTGAGGTTTCAGTGGAATAGCTTAATGGCACTTTAGGAGAGGTTTGTCTAGAGATTCTACAAATAATTGAAGGTGGAACACAGTCTCCATCATCTTAAGACTTCTTAGATTTCCAAATTTGGGTGAAGTTTAGGATCCCATGACCCTCGTTTTCTTAATTTTTCCAAGCACATTCCTTCTGAATTAACATAAGATCATTCAGCAACTCACTTAAAAGACTTCATTTTATGTTGTCCCCAAATCCCATTCAATCATTTGTTTTCCTACTAAGCATTAGTTGTACCATACCTGCCTCACTGAGTCTTCTACAGATCACACAACTGCACTAAGGAGTACGGGACATGCAGTAGCTGTCAGCCCTACGGTTCTCTCTGCATGAAAAACTCTGTGTCAAGTTTTTTCTTCCGTTTTTTCCTAAGCTAGGACCAAACACTGACAATTTTTCTTCCAGTGTTAAGCAACTACTGGGTCCCAAATGACAACTGCAGTTGCAGTCACAGAATCACAGAATGTTAGGGGTTAGAAGGGACCTCAAAAGACCATCTAGTCCAAAACCAGCATTAGCTCTCGTTTGCTGTACCGGGCCCTCAAGATCATGTCTTGAATGGTCTCCGTTCTTTTCTTGTGGTCTATTTTTGTTCTTGTTTAGCAGCAGGTTTTTAATGCAGAGGGATTAACACTTCAATGTCTAACAAATAGTACCTAGTGTCATTGAAAACCTCTGCTGGTAGTACTAAAATAATCTGATAGAAATGAGGAGAGCACATTATTTATATAGGACTACTTCAGATTGCAACATTAGTGCTTGGAATAGTAATGTGAAATTTAACAATATTACATTTCTTCAGCTATACAGGAGCTGATACTATACACATATTTAGTGCAGTGTTTTTGAGCAGGTTTAGGAATATGTCTCATCATAATAAATAGATTAATAGTAGCATGCATGTGCTGTAGTTAATACGTTGAGTGAGAACCTCAAAAAAACAGTGCCTTAATTTACTTTCTGTGTAAGTTCATGGCAAAATTGCTGTTGAAATTGATTATGGCTAACTTGAAACGAGATTGCATAGTTTTGTATAACTGTACACGATAATTATTATCTAAATTTAATGTGAAATCATAACTTCTGCAGGGCAAATAAAATTTCCTATTCAACACTTCTAGAACCTCCCCTGTTAGTTCACGTAATCCTATGAAAGAAATATTTTTTTAAAAGTGGTTCCCCCGAATTCTTTAAATCTCACAGAGTGTTTTCTTTTCTTGGAGACAGAACACCACTGAGGTTATTGATGTTGCAAACAGACGGTCTGAGGTTGCTACAACAGCCGCCTGTTACTCCTCATTGCCCACAAACACCGATGCAGTGCGGCAGGGAAGCCACAAGCCAGCACTCAGAACAAACATTTCTAAGAAAGGGAATTAATTGGCTGGACTTCCAGGTTCATAGAGGGAACAACATTTTACAAACACTTTAAGAAAGGGTTTCCAGCAAAGGAAAAGTAGTGTTTTGCTTATTTCATGTTTTTTGTCTGAGTTTTGGAAAGGGTCAGAAGATTGGCCCATTTAAAACTCCTTGTTTGTTGTCTTCTGTGGGAATCTCAAGCCAGTCTTAAAGATATTAAAGCACCTAGAAAATTTTAGCTTGAAAAGGGAAAAAAAAAAAAAACATTGTAGCAAATGCTCTGAAGAGATTTCAGCATCTCCTATGTTAAAAGAAAATGCTCTGAATGATTAAATGAAACCAGACAATCTCAAATACTTAGCCAGTGGCGTAGCTTATCAGTTAATTTTTAGCCAGAGGCAAGTTAAATCGTCGGTTTATTAATATCACCCTGAAATGACATTAATAATAATAGAATTTCCATTAATGGCAGCACTATTTAATTACTTAGTATAAAAGTGTCCACTGCAATTCATATCTGAAAAACAGAAAAGTAATAAAAGACAGGAAGCTTTTGGTGCTAAAATGTACAGCTAAAAGGCCTGGTAATGCTGTAGTTTTTAAATGGGCTTTTAAGTAATTCATATTTAATTTCAAATGCCAATATTCAAGTCATCAAATGGTTTTCAGCATATTGAGAATAATATGTTAGCTTCTTTTAAAACGGCAGAAGCCAGAAAACAAAAGAGCAAGTCTTTCAGTCACATTCTAATGAAGACTGCAAATTTTAGATAGATTACATTGAAATGGCAAACTTGGCTAAAATTAGTGTTCTTGAATATTTTTTCCTCTTAAACTACTCTTTTGTTATTTACTCAGTTATTAAAAAAGACAATTGAAAATAAAAAAAGATTTAGTGGACCATAAAATAAGAACTAAGGAAAAAAGTACTCTTCTACTTTAGTTTTGTATTGTAAAATAGATATTAGTATTCAAACTCTTTTTTAAAAATCTAGCTGGAATGACCTTAAGAATGTTACTTTTCTGTCCTGTTTTTAATTCATCTCCTGTCTGATTGTCTTCAACTGTTTAATATCCTAACATATTGATGAGAAGCTCTGAAACTGGTCATTTCAGTATTTTGTGATTATCAGTGTGGAGACAATCTCCATCCCTTAGATTTTACCTTAACGCACAGTTCCTCTCGCTTGCATTATAAGTGATACTTTTAATAATAAAGATGCACTTTCTTGGCAACAAGTATCCTAACATGCACTTACAGGAGTCTTGGATTTTAAAAGGGATGGTATGTTTCAACAGTGTCAAATTCTGACATCTGCTTCTTTATTTTTTTCCTAGTCTTTAGTTCTCTTTTTTTTTTTTTTATTATTTTAATAGTGGCCATTTTTGATTCATTCCTTGGACAATTTCGCCGTCTTAAGTGAAACCAGGATAATGCAGAGCTGGCCTGGTGGTCTGCCTGCTCACAATTACGCTGTAGTTGCAGTACGACATCGAGTTAGCAGTTACAGCTGAGCCTGCTTGTACTTATAAAGAGCTTAACCATGTACTTGTGAGTGAGCAATCTGGAAGGAAATTTTAAGAAAAATAGAACCGGACTGAACTGAAGGCCGTGATATTTCATCTTTCTTGAGCAATTTCGGGGATTATTAAGTGGCTTTTAAATTAATCTAAAACTGGTTGCATTGCAACCTCTGTGGTTTGTGTTGTTTCATAAATAAGCATAAATGCAGAAAAATTACAGTAAATGCATCAAACAAATGATTTTCTATTCAGGTTCCTTTTGGGGAAAAAATTGCCATAGTTGATGGCTGTGTTAAATCTTAGTTAAATTCTATGCAAAACACATAGCTCTGATAACAAGAATGGAGGATGCGAGATCACTTCTTAGCTTTACTTTTTACATTTTATAATACAACCTATAATAATTAACTGATTTCTGAGAGGACAATTATAAATAAATGAAGAAGAATTTTAGTACAAGAGCATAACAATAAGATTACTCAGTCCTGAATTAGTTTTTTTTTCTTTTGATTTCGTGAGTGAAACTTCATTCAAGGTAGGTCATCCCAAAATCTGAGCTATTTGTTCCTGCTATTTTAAAATAATGAATTTCAGAGCAACATCTTTTTACTTATTTTTTCACTGATTTCAAGCTGCTTCGTATGCTGATCTCACGCAACAGACATGTGAAGCACATCTTAGATTTCTCTGTGAAATTAATTGCAAGGTTGCATATACAGAGATTGTACCTTTCAAAGCATCACACTACAATGAATCATAAAGATAGGACTAGACATTTAGAGTCCAGATTCCCATTTCAGCATTTAGCCTTCACATGACACCAATCCCATTATTGTTTTTCAAAACAAATCACTAGTTTGCCTTTGGGCTTTTGTTGTTGTTTTAAAGTCTGTTTTCCATATGTTAAAAGAATTTTAAAGAACTAGAAGGGGAACTTTTTCTTGCACTTTATGTGTTGCATATTCATTTTGCAGAAGGAAGATATTAACACTAGGGATAATTGTGGATGCATTTTCCTGAGCATTGAAAAGATGTTTAGTTACTGGTTTGGTACATGCTTGAAATCCTGATCCATCTACAGTGTTCTGCACAATCTTTTTTTTGTCCAATGAAAGTGCTTGTTATACTGGCTAAAACCATTGCAGTGTTCCCTTTCAAACCCCATTTTGGGGTTCCAGCTCTATTTCCATTGCTGTTTACAGTCCTGTGATGCCAAGTGGAGCTGCAGACCCTCGTCTGGTTAGAAACCCCTGTTTGGGACAAGGCAAATTATGTAACAGAATTTGGACCCAGCTCCTGTGACTACTGGAGGCCAGAAGCTGCAGTCTTCAGCCTTCCAAACAAACCTCTAGTTATTCTTTCATCTTGTACATCTAGTGGCTCCAGACACTTGATTCATTCAAAACTAGTGCCAAACTATTGCAAACTGTATTTAGTATTACATCCTTTTTTAAAAAAAAATACTGCCTTCCATATATGCTGGTGGCCTCAGTCAGTCTAAAGTTCATCTAACTTATTTAATTTTTTTTTTAAAAAAGAGGCATGACCATTTGCTGTGAAAAGAAGCCCAGAGTGTGGAAATTCACTGTTGGCAGATGTTTTATACCAGTTTCAGAAGTCAGAAACTGTAAGCCCAATTTTGCCATGATGAGCTGTGTGAATAACGCGACTCATAACTACTTCCAAACAAACAATAAGTACTAGGCAATGTTTCCCCTACAAACTAATCTTTGCCTTTGTTAGGTGAGAAATTGCTGCCAGGTTGTGAAGACAGAAGAATTAGTCTTTTTCCTTTTTCAAACCAAACTGTCCTACAGCTGTTTTACCAAGCTTCTTCCAATATATCAGCATTAATGTTAGCCACCATCATTATTTTTGGTCACGATGCACAAAAATCTGTTTGGAAAGAAAATTTGCTGATGTTCATTTTGACACATTAGGACAGGATGCAGAACTGAGATGTGTTAAGAAATCTGCAAAAATCATTTCCATGTTCATATACAAGTAAATTGCACCTGGGTCTTCCCTTCTAAGAATCTTTTGGTTTGGTTTGTTTTCAAAACCAGTGTCAGTGGCCTTGTTTCACCATGAATTTAGTTTTTTAATCAGGCTTTACACATTCTATCATCTTAGTCAGAGATTTTATTACTTCTCAGCCTTTTCAAAGGCAGTGAAATCTTCTTGCCATCAGAATTCTCTGTGACTGTGGCACTCTGGAATGCAAATGAAGCGAGAAAATAACATGCTTTTTTAATAAATAAATACTTCATATTTGTAAAATCTATTGTGTCTTTCTTGCATCTTTCAGTAGAGGATTAAAAACAATGGAGATAGCTCAGAAAGAAAATCTATTATTAATTTAGTGGAAGTAGTTAGATGTTCATCTCCTGTGCAGCTCTTAAAATATTTAGTTCTTTAATGATAGTAATATGTTCATTATAATGAATTATATTCCAGGAGAATCTTTCTTCAACAAGAATTTTGCTTCATTGGAAATATTTGAGACGTCATTAAAAATTAACTGTATCAATTATTTCATTAAAGCAAAGTCTCAATTTTTTTCATTCAGATAGTGTTTTAAACTGCCACAAGGTGATTTTCTTTGTGTTTACTTATTTCAGTGCTTAAGAAGAAAATGAACGTATGGGGATTTTTCAACATGAACACATATATTATTAATTTTAAATACCTATGAGAGCCCCTCATAGTCGCATATTTCATAGGATTTAATTCCTAAATTCACAAATCAATTTTAAGGCATGAATTTCAGTTGAAGTGCTACTAGAATCGCTATTAGTGCTGGCTGTCATGAGTAATATTTGGGACTGCAACAGTATCCTAGGGCTATTCAGCTTTAAATAAATAGAGAGAATAATATTGCCCAGCCCACATGAAAAAAAAACAAAAACAAAAACATGCAACAAAAAAACCCCACTTTGTCTAATAACACCTAAAAAGAAGGCATAGAATAGGCTGGTGAGGGCAACCACTGGCACATAGCTTTTTAGCTTCAGTTTCTTTTATGGGACCCCCCTGCTTTTACTTCTTTTTCTTCACAGGCCTTGATACTGGCATTTCATTTATGCAGTTCTGCATTTGTCAAGTCTTCACAGCTGTGGGTGTTTCAGTGAAATAAAATGACCTCGGATAAAAGTGCTCAGAGGGTTTACTGAGGTGTGGGGGAGCCTGCACACAAAGCTGTGAAGAGCCTGGCTTTTTGGGAGAGCTGATTCACTGCCCTGAATGTCCTTGGGAGCACCCCTTGGGTCTTGTGCTGGCAGGCAAGAAATGCGGCTGTGTCGGCTTCGCTGGCTCACTTTTATTAAAAGTAGTTAAAGTGGAGTGTGACACCTGCACCACTGGCTGACCAGCTCTAGCATCTTCAGAAAGAGACATGGCTTGCAATTTAAGTTTATTTTTACTGAAGGTGGGAGGACTGTCTTGAGTCTTGTTGCACTTCCCCCTCCCACCACCCGCCGGATCTGACTTGCCGATGCTGTGCTGGGCAGGAAGTCTGTGGCAGAGCCTAGAGATAAACCTGCATCTCAGCGTCTTAACCACAAGCACATCCTTCCGCTTTACTCATCCCTCAGCTTTAAACAGCATGAATAGGGTGGAGGGGGTTCAGCGTTAATGGGTTTGTTTCGCTTTCACCTCTGCCTAGTTTCATAAATAACTCGGATATACAAGGTGGAAAGATAATCCGAGGAATTTTTTTTTTTGTGACTCTGAGATAGAAATGAAGGGAGCTTGGTTTGCTGCATTCCTTTCATTACTGTTTCATCTTAAATTAGCTCATCCAAGTCTCCTCTCCATTCTTAAGCATCTCACATGCTGGATTCCATCCTCCAGTGTCGGCAACATCCCTGGACCCATAGACCCACCTCTACAGAGTTAAACCTCATCCGTGGGACAGTTTGCTCTATTGTGTATGATAATCTCTACAGCTCTTAGTCTGGAATGCTTCTCTGATGTTTCCCCTACTCATTTTGATCCTAAATGACTTACTGAGCAGGCCAGAAAGAAAATTGATGCATGCTGTGCTGTCATATTGTAGTAAACATTTCATCGTGAGTGTGAAGAAGGGTCTAACGTTGCCTTTAAGAAAAGCAGTGGAGCACTGCAGGGAGCTCCATGGAAGGAGTCTGGGGCTGATGGATGGTTATAGCTCCATCTCAGCTCCTCAGGTTTTTTTCCTTTTATTTTAAATTAAAATAGAGGATCTCTATTTTAATCTATCTGAAGGTTCTAAATGCAACACAGTAATAATTCAGAGAAGCCAGACTAGGACCTTATTTTTTTCCAGAGTTCATAGGTGTCAGGGTGTGATGGGTTTAAGGTGGATTCATAACTGTTAAAATGTTACTAATTGCTCAAGTGCTTTTGAGCAGTTATTGGAAGAGAAGGGTCAGTTTTCTGAACAAAAGCAGTACTGTGGGATCTTGCCCAATTCACAAAATCCAGAAAATAAATTTGGATAGCTGGGGAACAGAGTAATTTGACCACATCTGCACACAGCCTAGCAACAAAAAGAACTTTTGGCCCCTGTGAAGATCTACGAGGGCATTTCAGAATCTGCTATAATGCTCACATTTTAATGATTTGCTTTCCAATATGTACATTTTGGAGCCGAAAAAGGAACCTCTGAGATTCTTTTCCTTACCATGTCGCAGGAAGAAAATAAACTTTATGAAAAATACCATTTCCAGTAAGGTTGTAAGAAATGTCTGACTAGTTAAACCTATCAAGGGCATTCCAGTAGCCTGATATTAGCTGCCTGTTATTCATAGCAGAAGGACTTTCAGATTAAGGGAAAATTATTTAATTTGAAGTAACCTAGCCATTAGTTCATGGTCATTGAGGGTTATAGCACTCAGTTGTTCTGCAACATTTTCTTTGTAAAGAGAACTTGTTCTTTCCTGCTGTTGATTAAATGTGAGGGGCAGGGAGAAAGGCTGTTCTTCGCTCTTAATGGGCCAATTTTTTTAAGGCTCTGATTGCAGAAGCTACTATTACTTCTAGTTTTCTGGATCAGATACCCTGAAGGAACTGCTGTTCTGTTCGTTGGCTTTCTGGGTGTTTTTTTTCTCAGTAAACTTCCTTCCAGTCACTGCCCTTTGAAAACAGAGCCCATTTGAGGGGTCTTAGTACCGAATCCACTAGTTACTTTACCTAGCTTTCCTTAATGCTGTTGCAAATCACTTCATGGGAGAGTTAAAGATGAAGATAATCAAGTAATGCTCTGACATCAAGAATATTTAATTACATATTTAAAAGGCCGTGGTCTTCTCTGGCATTTGCCATTTCTGAGCAGCATTTCATAATTCATGTTCACTTGATGCTTTCAAATAATTATTTGGTATTAGGCACTTATAGACATTCACAGTAGATGTGTAAAAATGTAATTCAGTCTGACTTCATCCATAAGACCTGATGCAAGCACTTTGTTTTGAGGTCTACGTTGTATTTCGACTTCACTTATCGCCAGTCACTTTGGGAAATGACATCTTGGAAGAAGCTCCATGCAAATCAAGGTCCGATGCAAATCAAGTATTGAGTCGGAGATTTTGTCTTTGCTACGTTTGCTGTGTGCCCAGTAAACTTATACCTTCTAGGACATTTACAGGAGGGATGAACTAAGGAAACGGCTCCCTGGGTGCAGTTACAGAGATCTGCATGGGATGGAGGTGCCTCAGCTTCCCCCGGAGAGGCCACTCGGCGGTGCCCTCGGGAGCTCGGGGAGGGGGAGCGCCACACTGGGCCAGCAGCTTCACCCTGCTCCTCTGTGCCACCCTGCTCTTACAGGAGTTTTGGTTTATTTTAGGCCAAAGAGCTGCCGACGTTCAAAGACAATGATTTTATTAACGATGGCCAAAAGATTCATATTGATGAGAATAACAAAAAGATGTTCCTTGAGAAACTCAAGAAGGATGTTGAGGTAAGAATGTGCCTGTTCAGTTAAAATGTGATTGAAACAAATTGGGGCAAATTACAGATATCCCAGGACATCATAGCTGTAATTCATTAATGAAAGCTCTTATTTGTAAGACTGTAAGCTCTGACTGTTTTAAATGAAACACGATTTAAATTTTCAGGAGTTGCTCACTGCTTTTGCTGGTGTGATAAATGGCTTGCTGCCATAGCTGGTGGCCATACCTTGTCCCTGCCTTGATGATGTGATGTTAAAATGATGGTACTACTTAGTACTTTAGCGCTTTGCGAGCCTAGTACTTCCAAATGCCCCCAAGAGAAAGGTGAGTATTGTTAGTTTCATTTAACAGGGGGACATACACCAGAGCTGAGGGTGTACTAGACCATAGCCCGTAACAGAGGATGCAGCATCCTCCCTTGCAGCTCTGCATGTTCTCTTTGTTTCATATTGGTCACCCAGTTTTATACCATCCTTAGTATTGCAACGGTAGAGTGCTTCAGTAATTTGTATGTAGCAGCTGGACTCATTATCTTAATGTAGTCTTTCATATAAATCTGTAATTGGCTGAGTATAGTCAATACTTAATGGAAGAGTGTTAATATGTGAATATAATGTAACATTTTATTATAACTGATTTAGTTCAGCAAATAAAATAACTAGTTCACACAGCTTGATTCTAGTTTCCATAATTGAAAATATTGACACTAAGCACAGTATTTTGCAGCCCTTATACTCAAAGCCTAAAATCTGTTATGCTTGTTGGAAGAGGTAGCAGAATTGTGATAGCAGAATGTATCTGTGACTTAAGACTTTCAGTTGTTTATATCAAATGGCTCTGTGAATTTACTTGTCTAGTTCTTCAGATATATATCTCATTAGCTGCACAAAACAGAATATTTTAACTTTTGAATTTACCCAATAGTTTGCTTTTGAGGAAATCTTATTTTCCATCATAGTAACAATGAGAAATTTAAGGTGATGATAATTATTAAAATAATGTGTATTTATTTTATATTTAAAATATGGTACTTGCAAGAATGCTGATATCACAGCTCTGGAGATAAGTTTATTAGGGCTTAAGTTTTGTCTTCTTTTAACATGTGCTGCCGTTGCTGACTAATGCTTCTACAGTAAGTAGATTGCAGTACGTCCAAGGAATGTGGAAGATACATTATTACCCCAGAAGTGGATTACATGCGATCCTCTGCATCATTTACTGGATTCTGAATGTAATGGCAGATTCCAGATCACGTCCTGAGAACCTGTTTTTCCTGGGTTTTTAAAGCGTTGTTAAATATCCATGTAAAGCGTGAAGTGATCTGGCACCTGTTTTTAGCAATGGCAAGCTATTATTTAATGTTGTGGTTTTTTATTGGTACTTCTGCCCTTGTTAGCTAACTGATAGTATGCACTTTGTACCCAGTGTGTAAACGCTCATATTTCACTACAATGAAAAGAAATGCACAACACTTAGCATATTATTATCTTATCACACAGTATTTATAATTAAATATATTATGAAGTAGTATTCTAGACTATATGACTTTATATCCTTTCTTGTTTGTCATTAAGTTTTGTTCCTGTATTTCTCTCATAATCAAGTCTTAACGTCCCCTTCTTGTGTTCAAACAGATAAATTTCTGTTACTGCTGTTTTGTTGTCCACTTGTCTATTTTCCTGCTTCCTCATTCCATTGAAAATGTCTTGAGAAAAAAGAAATATGCATGGTTTTCCGTTTTACGTCAGATTATCTTTTCCTTGTGTTGATGTCCGTACATCTCTTTTCTGTCAGCAGCAGCACGCTTTGTTCCCAGAGTCATTCTCTTCTAATTTGCAGTTCACTCTTTTTCCCAAGAGTCTGTTCTCTTTCATGCATTTTTTTATGATTATTGGTAGATTTTTCTCCTGTCTGTCTTGGTATTTATCAAGTACCTAGTGATATGCCTGGAGTCTTTGCACTCCATTGCCTTTGGCCTGTCTCATCTGTTCTTGTATGTCGTTGTACATCATCTTCTCAAACTTAGATCTCTTCTATTGTGAAGAGGCTTTTGCTTTATTATATTGAAATTATTAATAACTAATTTCTTCTTTCTTCTTAAGACCTCTTATCAATCACACAATTATTTTTCTTCCACCACTTGAATTTACAGTCATTTGTTATCTCTGATTCCTCTCTTTTCTCAGAATCAGAATTTTGACAAACTGTAGTTTCTCGTTTCCATTTTATACTCATCTATTTCTATCACTGTTCCAAATTCTGGCTTAAATCCCTTCTTCTCTGGTCTGCTCCACCTTCCTTACTGTAACAACACAGAGTTTCTAAAAACTGAAACAATTTGTATTTTCAGCAGCCTCTTTCTCTTCAGAAGCAGGATCTCCGTGGATTCAGAACTGCAGTATTGATTTTAGGCTGCATCACAGCTCTGCCCTGCCTACTGCTCACCTCCTTGAGCAGGTTATCCCAGCTTTCTGCTTTTATACCTCCCTTAATTCCATCCTCCTCTCTTAGCTTTCTTGCCTTATCCAGTTCCCTTCAACTAAAATAACACTTTCTCTATACATGTAAAGTGTATACATCTTTCAGCTCTCAGAAAACTCCTGTCCTCAGTCTTTATTCAAAACCACCCTTACATTCACATTTATGTTTTGCTTACGTGGTTTAAATTGTGAGCATGTCACTATAAAGGGAGTATAGCATCATTTGTATCTTCATGGTGTAAAACTTCACCCTTTTCCACTGTAAGAGTATTTAAACACTTTTGCACAATTCTTTAATACGGCTTAAAAGGGCGGGAGGGGGTGGATTTAGCACCAGATCGTAGCACGCCTGATAGCACAGAGGCTAGTCTGGACGTCGAGCGGTGACAGGACAGCCCTAATTGAAACACGAGACAGGGATGACAGTCATCGTCTCTCACAAGCTCTCGTGTTCACTACAGGAAAAATGATTTTTCCCTGAGGATTTTGGGAAAGTGGGTAACAGCTTTCTTATAAGTGACCTGTGTGCTGTTACTACATCATAATAAATTCAAGTGTCTGCTAGCTTTATCACTTAATCCTCCCTTTTGTTCTCTCTTAGAAGTCCCTTTTTTTAACTCAGCTAATGACATCTGTGGAACTTCTTCCGTTTGTAAGTGGAGCTTACATTTTCCAGTGTTACTGATAAGTTGCTTATTATCACTTTCTAGTTCCTTGCTCAGTTGAAACTCATGGACTACAGCTTGCTGGTTGGAATACATGATGTTGAAAGAGCTGAACAGGAAGAGGTAGAGTGTGAAGAGAATGATGGAGAAGAGGAAGGTGAAAGCGATGGGACCCACCCCATTGGAACCCCTCCAGACAGTCCAGGAAACACACTGAACAGCTCACTGCCTTTGGCTCCGGGGGAATTTGATCCAGCTATTGATGTTTATGGAATAAAATCCCATGAAAGTAAGCAGTAATAACTATTTTTTATGTTAAGATGCTTGTATTCTTACACTGGAATCAAAGTCTTCTCAGCAGCATAAAGGCAAAGTTAAACTGCAAAATACAAATTCACTCTGCAGAAGGGGAAATTAGTTGCTCTTTATTGCAGCAGAAACCAGAAGACACCTGTAATGCTCAGCACTGTTATGAACATAGCTCTTAAATACTGTGATGTGTGGGGATGCAAAGAGGTCAGTACAATTTGACTGTATACTGCAATCAAATTTTATACTGGCTTAGCAGTTCTCAATTAATTCATGGGGGGGTTTCATCCCTTTCAGGAAATCTGGTATCTATAATTGTTCTTTTCCTGGCAGATAAGCCAATGGTGTTAAAAACAGTCTAGAAAGAAAGAGAAAAGAAGCATTCCAATTTATATTTCACTTTTGGGGGCTTCTTGGAAATTTGGTCACTCATACCCAATTTCTCTGTTCCAGCTAAGAAAGTTGTCGTAAGGAGTGTTTAAGAAGCCTGAAACTGGGTTTGATGGTAGTGTGTAAATCTAAGTATAACTAGTTACCTATGGCTGTTAAAAACAGGGAATTTCTTTTTTGTTTTCATAAGCATTTACATGGATAAATACATGTTTTTATTCCTAAAGAAAATATGATTTTGTTTGTTGATACAGAAGCATTACCTTTCATATAGAACTTCGTAGTTTTTTTCCCCAAAGGAAGATGAAATCCACGTTACTTTGTGAGCACTAATTCCTCTTCTGTATGGTAGTGGTTTATTTTACACTCATTTAAGTGCCTTCGCATTATATATGAGTGCAATTAAACTCTCAGTTAAGGACAGCTTGAGCCTGTGGTCTTTACAGATCTGTGATTCTGACTGACATTAACCTGTCTTAGCTGCTGATTGAGCTTAGAAAGTCTCCTTTGTTAGAAGGAAGGCTCGTGATTAAGATGTCTCAAAATTCATTCTCTCTGCCATGTGTTTGCCATTTGCAGATGCACCTAGGAAGGAAGTATACTTTATGGCCATTATTGACATTCTTACTCATTATGATGCAAAAAAGAAAGCTGCCCATGCTGCAAAGACGGTAAAGCATGGTGTAAGTATCTTGGTTGGGGTTTTTTTCCTGTGATTCTGTTTATACTAAGGCATTTCTGTTATTTAGTGCACTGACATAGCACATTTCAGGCAATCTAGTGAAAGGGGAAATAGATCAGATTTTTTCTTGATTTTTTTTCCTAGTTTTATATGTGATACAAAAATACAGAGCAAGTGCTATACATTGCATATTGAGAGTGGAACCCCCTTTTCAGCTGTACACATAACTTTCTTACCCATAAAGAGCTCTAGTGAGATGCCTGTTCAGGACTTTGTCCTAAGTTTGTGAGAAGCACCTTATTGCACACAAAGCTGTTCACGAGGAGCTTCTGTTAACACACAGCACTGTGAATGCTGGTGTGAATCTTATTGCAGATGCAGGGCCATACTGGTGGTTTCAATATTTGATACAGCCTGTTAAAATGTTAGTTCTTCAGCATATAATGTGGCTCACTTTACAGGATTTCTGGGGGGAAAAAAAAATACCATTCACAAAATTCAGCATAAAATCTACGTATGAAATACTCAGAGACCATTCAGTGAAGGCTTCTGTTTGACTGCCATGAATCTATTTTGACTGAAACTGCTGCTTAGCAGCAAACACCAAAGAACCATGGGTGAAGCCACCCAGTTTTCCAATTTGCGTCTACCATTATCACTTCTATGATGATTTAAGGTTTGAATTTCATGAGCTTTTTTAAAATAGCATAATCCTTCATGAGTCTAAAATCCCTCCTTTGTCTTAAGTATCTAAAGAACCAAGGCACTGCGGGGGTTTTAAGCAAAGGACTCAAGGCTGTTGAGTTTACAGTAGAGAGTGATGTGGAATGCCCAGCAGTAAACCCAGCAGAGGCCCGTAGAAGGTATTTTTTGACTCTAAAACAGTGCTTTCACTACTCTCTGCTCTCAGAGCAGCTGAAAGTTGACACAGACCATGTGCAGCCATTCTTTGGCAATTATTAATGAACTTTGAATGCAACAGACCTTGAAAACTCACACTTCTGGCTTAAATAAGGGATAAAAATATGTCATGGATAATGACTATGATTATTAAAGCTGACTGCAATCTGAACTTAATGCAGAGCATTACTTCTGTACAACCATTTTGTTTATTGCACTATCTCCATCCTGAGACACCTGACACTGAATTTGTTCATTAATTGCATGTATGCAATTTTCCCCTTTTGTAAAAGGAAAAAAATAAATAAAAATGTGGCTAAGGCTCTGCAAACCTCGAATAAAAGTGTGAATGAGCTTGTGACTTCATTGAAATAGCAATTGTACAGCTTATCTAGTGAGTCCAGATTTAAATGCATGTATGTTGAAAAAAATGTTACTAGTTATTACCCTCAAAACAGGCTATTTAGCATTCATATAGCAATGTACATTACACAAGTGGTGATATGCCAGATTTGAGTATGTTAATTCAGTCTTCTCTATATAAAGGCAGTGCTGCTCAACAGAGCAGAATCTGTTGATGAATCAATGGGTGGCATGGTTACGTCTGCAGTAGAAATTATGTAGGAGACAATGAAAGTAAAGAGAAGTAAGGAAAGAGAGTATGTTTCAGAAATGGAAGATGAGTGTCCTGCAGTTACAGTGATGAGTACCAAGTAGCACTGTACTCACGTGAAGCCTGTAGAAGGCATCAGTAAGATTCTGCATCAGGGCCGTTACAAGTTGTGTTTCTGTTGTCTGGTTCTGAGACTGCACATGAAATTCGTTGAGTAAGTCTCACAGTCACAAAGCATCAAGTAAATCACTGCTTCTTCCTTCTTTCCTCTCCCCTCCCAATTCTCTGTACAGGCTGGTGCAGAAATTTCAACTGTTAATCCTGAACAGTATTCAAAGCGCTTCTTGGACTTTATTGCCAACATCTTGACGTAACCTCTCATGTTACACGGGACAGACACGAGACCTGGGGACAGCAGCAGTGGCTACAAGAGTAGGGAAAAAAAGGAACTCAGAGAAGCGCTCATCTTACAGAAAGCAACCCCTTTGTTTACATCTGCTGGCAAAGATGACTGAAGTGGGGTGGAGTACTTGCTTTAACAGCTGCCTGATATTCCCAGCATAGTTCTAGCTATTTCTGACTCTTTTGTGTGTGCAAAAAATAAAATAAAATTTAAATAAATTAAATAAATAGAACAGCTTACTCAGAGTGCACTGTGACAGTAATACTCTGATGCTACCAGCTGAAATGGAATAAATGAGCAAAGAGGTGTGGGGTGGGGGTGGGGAAGAGTAAATGCATGTTAAATCTACACTATTGATATCAAATTGTAAACTGTGGATCAGTTTATTTTTTGAACTAAAAAGATACATGACAGTATTCTTCATGACGACGATGATGACGATAATAATAAAAACCCTACTGCGAATGTTACACCCTGCACACTGGCACTCCTTAAAAAAAGCAGCTGCCGGAGGCTTTTCCCATTTGGTTCCTAGCAGTTGGGTTTTTTCCTTTTTCTTCTCTCTCTCCTGTTTTTGGTCTTCTTTTTCAGCATATTGCATCAGGAAGTTCAGCCTCTCAGACATCTGAGAGCCGGCGTCTCTTACAAAGAGCTAACATAATTCATGCTATGTATACATTTTTGCTACAGTAAACTTACGTTAAGGGAAAACTTTGCTTATTTCACTTTGTTACCTGAAGTTTTAATTTGTTTTATATTCTTGCAATATAGGAACTAATAGTGTTACAAGTGGAAAAAAAAAAGCTTATCTGAAGAAGCGCATAGCTTTGGGCAATAGCTGCTCCATCTTTCACCCATTATGAAAGATGTGCACACTGATAGAAATTCCATTTCCTTGTAATTTACTAGGAATTTGAAGTTTGACTGCTTATGTCATACTGTTGAAACAGCAGTATTTTTATTATAGATTATCCCTCGAAAAATGAACCCTGAATTTTACTGTTTACATTATTAGGAAAGCAGGGATATTTCTGAATTTCAGACCTATGTACAATACTTTTGAGTTTACATGTAAAGTTATTTTGCAGTACAAATGAAGTAATGTTTGTCATCTTCCAAGGCGTAACGTGCAGTAGTGTACTGAAGTGAATGTCTTGCTCACCTCCGCAATAGACTCTTTTACAATACAATGAGAAAGGGTATTTCTGAAGGACTTTTCCCAAGGTCATCTTTTAGCATCAAAATGACCTGTCCCACCATTTACTCAAGTTTGATTGTATAGTACATTGCCTAAAACTGTGCTGATCATGTTTAACTCGTTTAGACTTTTGAAACAATGACATTGTATTTCTTCTCTTCTTGTATTTTTCCCTGAAAGACTCCATGCTTGAAAGAGACAGATTTACATATGCTTAAAAAGTTTATCTACTTACACACTGTGCTAAAGCTGTGCCTTTAAAATTTCTTTATTGAAATTGTTAGGTTTTGTAGGCAACTTAAGAGAAGTCAAACCCTCCCCGTCGTCGTTTGTAACTGGGATTCGGAGTGCCAGCATGCCTTCTCCGTAACTCGTGTGGGTGCTGCTAAACCTGCAACGGTGCAGAACGCACGCAGCGGTTTCCTTCCGAGGAGCCCATACGACAGCAACCCTCTACACTCTCTTCAGCGGCCAAAGGCAATACTATCCCTGCTGCTGTGTACTAATTTTTTTTTTACTTCTTTCCCCAACCTTTCCTACAGGATTTTTTTTTTTGTTACATTTGACTTAGTGATGTCTGCAGCACTGTAATGTATGTGTATACTTTTGTATTGTATGTATTTAAATAAGTTGGTACTGTGGCTTGATTTTTTTTTTTTTTGTCCTCTCCCTGCATACCCCAGCTGTTGACATTCTCACCCAAGTTTCATTTTCTGGAGCATGCTGTGGCTTCTTAAAGTATGAAGCCACGGGGAGATCGTGAAGTAAAAATGAGGTACACGTACCTGGAGTACATATTTAATTGCGGCCCATGAGTGTACATTTTTTAGACTCTTTTAGACATTTACAGCAAAGCATTCTTTTTGTCTGTTTAGCAATTTTGTCACTCATTCTTGTTGTTAAACTGTTTATTTGGACAGGGCAAGGAAGACTCATTATTGTATATGTTAGTGCTTAGATTACACTCCAAACAAGAGCGAGGCTTTATAAAATAAAGCACTTTGATGACTCACTAGGTAAATCCTTTGTTCTTGTGTTTCAACTGTGGTTTTGATCACTTACAGATGAATTTCGGATGTTAAAATGAGCACATAGCCTGTATCACAAAGGAAGAAAGAAGAAGAAACTTGAAACTTTTTCATTAGATTTTACACTGCTTCTTCCACGCTTACCTTAAGTGGATTGAAACATTTAGCCTTTGGGGTTCGGGGCTTGGGCCATGTTCCGAGAGCAAATACTGAAAACCATAACTGACGATTCTATGGCCTAAGTCTAATATTACTGCAAAAATGGGAAGATCATCCACAATAGTTTAATGATAGGAGGATTGGCAGAACTTTGCTAACGTGTAAGATCTCATGCTAAAACAGTTGTTTGAAAAGTACTTGGGAATAAGCCTAAATAATTCACGGAGAGGAGGGAGGGCTTTCTGTTCTAGAATTTAAAGGCTTTGATTGTCAGGTCTTTCCATGCATGATACAGCCTGTGCTGCACATTGTGGGCACGTGGTAGTAAAGTGGGGTTTTGCCCGTATTCTGACTAACTTTTAATTCTCTTAATACGTTTGTCAATTTTCAGTTCCTTTCAGTTTACTGAACCGATGCAAGATAGTGTTTTCAGCAATATTTTTACCTGTAAAATACACATGACACAATGATAAAGTCAACATTCCCCACAGGGAAGATAATCCAGGAGCTATTCTGTTAAAAGTAGGTGAAATGATAGGGAGGAGAGAGAAGTAATAGGGAGGGGGGGAGATTCAGCTTCTTCATTACTCGCTTAATGATGTGTCTATTATTAGTCTAAGCCTGTACTTCACACAGCTGCTTATGGTTTAATATGAACATGATGTTCAATGAATGCTGCTTAAGCTACGTGTGCACGCTGGACAGCAAGCTCCCTGGCTGGTTCTCTGCCTGTGCCATTCCAACCATCCGTCACGCCCAACCATCCGGCTGCCCAACTCTTGCGCTGCTTTTATAGTACAGGTGCGCGTGGGTTGTTGGTAGGTAATTTCTCAGTGCCACCTCCCTCACAACATAAAATGAACCAGCACAGTTCCCCAAATTAAAAACCTGCTCCAGTTCTCCTGCTCCAACAAACTATTCAACTGAAGCATTAGGCTTTCCTCTCTTTTTTTCCTAAGGCTTCTGGACATACTCAAATTTAACTTTGAGTAAGTATATTATATTTAAGTTTGAAGCTAGCCATGCTTTTGAAGCAATGGTTTAGTGGAATTACTCCTGCAATCCCCACAGCACTATTCTGTAGCTGACACTAGACCAGCATTGCTGGCTTCAGCAAGCAGCTGAAGGACTTATCTTTAGTAGAAGTGTGTATATGACAGTGCATAGAAGAGAATATTTTTTCCGATAAAATGATTTTTCTCTCTCTCACCTGAGGAAAACCTGAAGGCAGTGATGATATTCAAGGTAGGATCTCCAGCTGGCTTGTTAATGCAAGGGCTGCAGCAGGAGAAATGTTTAAATTAAAAACTATTGGAAATTATATCTTTCTGTGTTAACTACATAAGCTAAATGTATAATTGGAATTTCCAGCTGACCCCCTAATTGTGCTTCCTTTTTCTTTTCCAGTGTAGTACTAGTTAGCAAGTCCCAACATTGAGTGGGATCATTGCATTCGGATGGTCTCATGCCCCATCTTTATCCAGTGCCCACTCTATGTGTGCTGTGCACTTGGTTTCACTCAAACTCTCATGTATTTAATGAGGAAATAATAAAGAAAAATAGAGAGCAGTTAAGAGAAGTATGTTTCATCTCTTCCTTTCTACCCTGATTTCTCTATGGCAGGTATTGTTTCTGGAAATGAGCATATCCTTTACAATACAGGTAGGACAGAGCAGAGGTTACACAGGCAGAGCAGCGTACGGTGTTTAAACTAAGCTGGGCAGTGATGCTGGATTACTCCTGCCTGAGATGGACCAGAGAGCTGCTGTCATGCTGTAAGGGAATATGCATGAACAAGTGATTGGCGAAGAGCTTGAGAGCCGCATCTTCAAGTGGCAAAGGCAATTTGTGCAAGAGAAAATCACTAACAATAGCCTTATTAAAACTGTTAGAAAACAGGGCTGGAAAATACTTGAAGAGATGGTTATAGTCTGTCCCAGAGCAGTTCAACTGCAGATAAACATTGGCAAAAAATGGGTTAAACTTTCCCAGGGAAGGGAGTTCCGTGACTTCCCTGTGCTGTTCATTCCCATGCCCCACCAGCTATATCACTAGAAGAAAAAAAAATTCTAACACCTTACCTGACTCTACATTACTACAATTTAAACCCATTAATATTTATTTTACTACAGTGGGCCCTGAGAACAACTTATTTTCCTCCTCCATCAGTTTCTCTTAGTGTGATCATGCCCTTATGTGTTGAACAATGTAAATATTAGCTTTTGCACATACTAAATTGTGTTCCCTTTATTTAATGAAATAATCAGACCAGTTTAAGTCAGACAGAATGACCATTCCATGCTTAATTAAAAAAAAAAAAATCTGTTAAAAATCTGTTTCTGGATTGTCAGTCACATTTTATAAATGGATTTACAGATTTCTACTTTGAGAATTTCCTAGGTATCCATTACCGTCTAATAAAAAAAAATTGTAATAATTGCTGTTTGAACAGAATGAGCATGCAGCTTAGTTATTGCCATAACTGCAATAAAATGTTGCTTTTTTTCTTTTCCCACAGTAAACAATATGATCTTAGCTTTCCTAATGATATTGCCTTTTCACAGCTTCTAGTCTCATCTCTTGTCAGTGATATGACATAAAATAATTATGTGGCCAAAAGTATTAAGATACAAGTAATACTTCTTTGCAAGCTGGCATAAATTTATCCTTACCTAGTGCTCTGAATATTTGCAGGCATTTCAGTTACTGCCCAATATGCTTTGGGTTTATAAAGAGCTCCTACTTTGTTCCTAGTCAATCCAATTCATTCATAGTGACTCATTTTATTTAGTGATGTGTATCCTATTGGAATA